TTCTCTGAGAATGTGCTTTCTCATTCTATTGAAATTATTAAAATGAGTTAGATTAATCTCATGTGTTGTAGAGAAATGAGCTATTTTTACAGAGTTGAACCATTTATATAGTATAGCTACTCATTTGTTGTACAACTTTTTTCGTCCTTTTTTCTTAATACTCTTATTACGTAGTATAATTCTTTTCTTCCTCGAAGTGACCCATATCAACCTTTCTCAAAATTCGTGGATTTTTTTCTATAGAACTCACTTCAGTTTAATGTTGAAATTTTCCTAAAGTAATGGTCATGTTTGAAAATTCTTTGCAAGCAAAACAAACATGTAAAGTGCAGTGTAATTAGTCTACAAGTTAGCTTTATCTAATTATTGTTTATAATTACCACTATCAAAAAAATTAGAAAAATAGGCATGATACATATTAAAGTACATGAAGATCCATATCTAAACAAAAATGCTGAAATTATGAATACATTTAGTACACAGATCAGGCATTTGGAACACTCCGAGATTCAATTTTGAGGGAGGGGGTCTGTTTGAAAAACGCAAGGAAAAGTGAAACTGTATGTGGAAAATTGAAAGAGGATAAGTATGGGTTAAAAGTTCTTGAAAATGCAAGTTACTTTTTAGAAGATTAACCCTTTCAAGTGGCAAGTCTTTTTGGATCTGTTTATGAATAACTGCATTTAAACAACACTTTTTTTTGCTAAATTTTTATAAACTTCCATTCATTAAAATGGGATTCACAACCTTTTTCTTTCATTGATCCCTTTTAAAAAATGGTTTTCTTCATTGACCCCCTTGCATTTTTCTCAATAATTATAGCATGCAACATATTTACTATACTATATATAACTTAAAGATAACAAATAGAGCATTTTTTTAAAGAAAGGGTTTATTAGATTTTATCTTTTAGTATTTTTTATATTATTTTTAATTTTACAAATATAAACTAGTTATCAGAAATGAAATTGCAGATTCCGATTGCCCCAAAATTTTATTTTAATGTATGTGACAGCTCCACCTGATATATTGATGCAGCGTTTTAGATATAAAAATGTTTAAAACTTAATTCTTAATCACTTGCACTACGACTAAACTTCACGGTTGCGTTGCGGTGCCGTGCTCTACAATATAACAAGCGGTAAAGTGTCTTATTTACTCCGCTCCGAGTCTGCGAGTGCAATCCAGAGCTGTAACTCGAGAAATAAACAATCTCGTTGTTAGGCGACGTGTGCACCACGTTATTTTAATTTTTGCGCGTGGTTTGAGACAAAAGCATCTTGACGTGCGTGGCACGCATTTTTAGCGCAAGTAGTTAAATCAAAATCATTCAAAAGTATTCAACTTATTTCTTGTTTTCCATACTAAATTATTGACTTCACTAAAGCATGCTTCTAAGTAAGTAAAAGATAAGAAAGTCAGTAATGCTGGTTTAGGAACAACTTTTATTTTCAGATATTTCGCTCAGATATCTCTTAAATTTCAAAACTTAGTTAACCCATGTGTTTTGAGTAAGACTTGTGCTTGAACATCTCGCATTAATTTTATATGATTTCTTCCTTACTATATGATACAACTTTATGTCACTAAATATGTAATTACCAATTATACATATATATTTATAATTAATAGGATTTTGATTACAAAATTCTAATATTTGGCTGTTGAACACCTAATTTTCAATAACCCCCTTTAAAGTTTAACACTGACTTTGTTGGGAATCCTAATTTAAATCATTAAAGAAAGTATGAAAATATTTTAAACAGTAAAGTAATCTATATCAAATGACAAATCTCACGACCGGATAATGGCACTCATGGTTTTAAAAGTATTGGAGGATAATTTCCTTATTTTTCATTTTTTAAAAACTTTTTCATGTACTAAGTTCTAATTCTCTCTTGATATCTGGCTTTCTTCTTAGTATAATGCAAACCAAACAACAGGATCTTTTTTTCATTTATACCCACTTGATCTAGCATATGGTCTTTTTCTCAAGAATACCTAATCATTTTGCCACTGTTTTATGATCTGTAGAGTGAAATGCTATTTTGTGCGAGGCAAGTATTTGGATTTTGAAATTGAAGGATCCTTTACAACAAGGAGTTTGTGTAACTTTTGCATAAAATGGTGAAAATCTTTACTGAAACATTTTAGATGTTGCAGCAAGCTTATGGAGAAGATTGTTTTAGCCAATTCCAGTATTGTAAATTAAACCAATGCTTCATGTTTGGCAAAATATCTACCAAGAATAATTGAAAAGTCAGCACGTATCCACCTCAACAAATGATCTTCAGGCTGAGGAAATGCATGCTTTGATTCTTGTAAGTTGTCGCTTATTTGCTCATGAGAATGCTTTTGTAACATAATTTTGATTGAAAATCCACAGCAAACTTTATCTCATCTCTTGACTGGTAAGCGGAAAATGAATCATGTCGCAGCTCCTCATAAATCATTAAATTGTTCTAATGCACATTAAAATTTCCAAAAGTATGTTCATAACAGATGATGAAATATGAATTTAAATGTAGTAATGGTATTGGGTAGGATCATTGTTGGCAAAATAAAAAAAAAGTATCATTGTTTATCAAATGTGACGGGGATGTTGTTCGCCTGTATTGATTAGCAAGGAATCATTAAGTCAGATATAACCAGTGCACATCTTTACTTAGATGTGATGAAGCTTTTAAGAGTAGCAGTGTGATGGAAGAGGTTGGAAATTTGAAAGGGGGGGAAGTAAACTTGCTTGCTTCACATTTGTAATCCACCTGCACTCTCATTACTCTTTATCCGTAATTTTTTCGCCAAATAAGAAGTGACCATCAGCCTGCACCCTCCCTATGTTCTAGATATGGCCCTCATTGATTTTTATTAAAATCCACATTGAAAAGTTGACGATTCAAGGCAACCTAAGAGATCAGAGATAATTTGCTGTAAGAATTATGTCTGATTTTTCAAAAGGATTTCAAAGAACATATCAACAGTGGAGTTGTGTAAATAGAGAGGAAGACTATTTTGAAGGATATAAATTTTATTGAAAGGCACTCTTATCAATTTTTGATTTATTTTAAAGGTTTCTTTTCATTCTGTAAAGAATTTGTGTTCTAAAGTTAAATTATAAAAGGAATACTGCTTCCCCCCTACTTTATACAACTTTGAACTTAATAGGAAGATATTCAATGTGTTTGTTAGAAGCATTAACATTATGGTTTCATGTTCAATCTATATTCTGAAGTTGGAAATTGCTTTGAATGTTATTTTAGATTCTTATCAAATGGAAGTAGTGTTGATAAAGTGAAATCAGAATTTTGGGATTTCATCTTATATGCTTTAAAGAAGAAATGTCAAAATTCAGTCATTATTTTGATAGCTTAGATTTTTATTATTCAGTAGTATTTGACAACACAAGTTCTAAAAATTTAAATTAGTAAAACCTGTATTTTTTGAAAGTGTATCAAAGCAACCAAAATGCCCATGAATACTTGAAAAAGGGGGGCGATTATTAAGAAGGTTTTCTGAACTAGCAGCTTGACAAAAAATTTGTAGAAGAAATGTTTAAAAAATGCAGGGGGGGACAGATAAATTGAATTGATTTGTCAAATAACTAGTGCTGTTATTTTTATATTTAACTGAAATCTTGATCACTTAGATAAAGGAAATTGAATAGATTTTTGCATAAAATGCCTTGTTTTATTTTGATGATTGAAGCAAATAATAAACTTACTATGTCCGCATTTATATATGTCATTATTATGTCAGTATTTTATGTTCAGTTTCAGTAACTATTTCATACAGCTATAAAAAAAATTAATTTTATTCATAAATTATTTTTCTCGCATTTCTACTGTATAACTTTACTAAATTAATTACAGCAATAGTTTATGGTTTTTAAAAATTTATAGTTTTCCCTTTGATCTGACAGATAAATGAGTTGTTCAGCTAAGACATGAAATGTTAAAATTTGTAATGTAGACTGAAAAGTGAACATTGCAAATATTACTTGAATTTAAAGGGTACTAAGTATATTTTATAGATGTGTTTCTTCTCTATGTTGTGAAGCAGCTTTAATTTAATGTCTCTCCTTGTGTGTGTACCAAACATTCAACACATAGCTGGAAGTTTTTATTATGGACATGTGCAAGTTCTGGGAAAGACACTGATAAGATAAATTATAATTAAGCAGGATTTTACTTTTCTTCTTATTCAGTATTATGAAACTTTATATATGTGAAGTAATTGGAATACTATAGTTTTAAATAGCTAATTGTCATATTTGTTCATAAATAACAGCGATATTGAAAGTTTGAAAAAGAAATAAACTTTCAAATTTCCTTTTAATCTTCTTTATTTAAATCAAAAGGAGGAAGTAATATGCATCTGTTACTTTCCTTTCCTCTTTTTTTTTGGGGGGGGGAGGAGAGGTTATCAAGAAAGTTGAATGTTTTACACAGCAAAAGGGTGCCATTCTCCTAAGAAAACAAAATTCACATATGATGTGTTTCAGGAATTTCCTAATTTATTTAAATCTTTGATATTTCTGTTTTCAATACTTTGTTTATTCATTTTCAAACAAATTTTTTAGTAGTGCACAAATTTTAATTGCCATGCTCATTTAAGTATCATTTGTAATACAGATTTCTCAACTCACTATTTTGTTGTACAAATACATTGCACTTATTTAAATAATGAGAATGAGAAGGAAAAGAAAAATTAATGGTTTTTCAAATTTACTGGTTCAGCCCTAGTTTATTGTACTGTTTTAGTTAAGTAGAATTTAAACAATATTTACAGTATAAAAATGCAAGAAATCAAGTCCTATTCAATAAGTTTCTGTTTAATTCTTTAAAATTGTATATTTCTTGTCATTAAATATTTTTTATATTTTCCAAGTTTTAATTTTTGTTAAATACTCTTGCTAAATGTTAACTTCCTCCCTTTTTTGTTATTATTGCTGTAAGTTTTACCATTTCTCAAATTTTGAATAAAGTGTATTATCATTCTAGAGGATCAGAAGGTTTCAGATCCTGTTGTTACGAGCCCTGGAGTACACTTACAGAGCAACTTGAATATGATCACTGCAGCTTATCAAAAACATCAAGAACTATCTTACACACAGTTGGCTGCACTTTTGAATCTTAAAGTAGGTTTAGTTGTTTAACAGGTTTTTTTTTACATTATTTGTAACTTCTTCCCTCTATCTGGATAAAAAAACTGTTGAGAATTTCTCTTAAAAAAATGATACAGATCTGTATTTTGATTCTTTAAAACTGAAAACCGCCATTAAAATTTTGAATTTCTATTTAGATATATTTTTGCTTGCATGAACATGCGCTTTGAAAAGTTTTGAAGTATGTATAAAAACTGTGTATTATGACACTTTATTTTTATAGGTTGACCCAAATAATAAAGTTCTTCTTGAAAATTTGAGTGCACAGCTTACAGCTGAGTCTGCTTTGCTTCAGAAATTGCAAGAGACGAACAAAGAAATCATACCTGATGCATCTAAACCTCTTTCTGGTAAAATACTTTTCATATCATAGAGAGATTAGAATATCAAAATATATCTATAGCCTTTGTATTACTCATATTAAATTTTTGCTCTGAAGCTAATCAATTTAAAGTTACTTTAAGATAATGGTTCTCAGTGAAGAACCTTATAACACCGTTAGGATGTATGTGAAGAACTTAAAAGTATTAGCAGAGTCATAGACATATTTAAATCAGTCATATGAATATTTTTCCCAGCATTATCATTATCAAAATAATGTACAAACTATAAAGTTTTAGTTATTAAAGTACAAAGTTTTAATTTTTTTTTAAATTTTAATTTTAAGAGAAATGCCTTTTATTATTAAATTTATATTGTTATGTTTTTCTTATTCTTCTGATGCCAGTTCTTACGTTATTTTCGTCCTTCATGTTCGTACGGAGTTCGTGTGGATTTGGAGTGAATAACGACGACATTTGATGAAGTATCGAATAACACACTTTATTTAGACAATACTGATCAGGACAGCTACAGTCACGTTACAGTCGCCGCAGATCTACTATAAACACACTGACACGATCAGCGACACAGCCTCCAGGTTATCAGGCTAGCACGGTGGAGACGGCTTCACGACAAAGCACTAGAATTCAGCTCGCGGCTCTGCTTGGTCGTTCTCGGAATTCCACGTACTCTCGAGACTCTCCACACTACAACTCGCGGTGCACTCGACGACACACAGAGCATGGCTCCCGACTCTTTGGTTCAGTCGTTCCTAAAGCTCAACACACTCTCTCGACGATGTACTAATCGCGATACACTAAGAGACACCTTCGGTGCACTCGACGACCCACTCGGCACTCGTTGCCCGGCTGTCAACTCGGTGGACTCCGCATGACTTGCTAGACGAGGCACACTGAAACACTCTACGAGACACACTAACTGACTGCGGACCAGCAGGGTTTATATAGCTTTCGGCTTGTGTTCGAGAACCTTCTGGGCTAAACTGGTAAGAATTCGTTATGGCATATTGCCAATTTTGTCACCGAATGTTGCCAAATGGGCAATTCGTCACCAAATGTGGTAACCCTGCCTTCCCTTGCCATTTTATGGCAACCACCCTAAAACTGCTTTGCGAAGCCATCTTATTGCGGCTGTACATTTTGTAACAATATGTTTGAATTCCCTCTTATTTAAATTGACATTTTTGGCCACAATTCACCTGGCTCTCTAATCATGCCTATTTCCAGAAAATTTACATTGATACTGTTGTGATAAAAAAAGAGCACAGCAAAGTAATTTTTTTTTATCTTACGTATATGTGTTATATATATACATATAGTGTGTTAGAGAGAGAAATAAATAAATATATAATTGTATGTTGTTTTTAATAATATTCATATTTCAAAGAACTCTTATGTGCTGAGGAAAAAGGCTATATTTCTTACACAAAATTAATAGTTTTGTTGTATAACTGTTACTCATGCATTCTAAAAGTAAAATACACCTTAATTATTATTTATTTTGGCAATCTACTAAAATAAATTATTTGTTAGATAGGGTCATTTTTAGGAAAAAAGTAGGAAACCATTGGTGGGATAATAGCAAAATTTTTGCTAGTTTTAATCATACATTGTATAAATTGTTGTAATACAATTAAAGCTATGCATTTCTTTTTCATTCTCTAGGCTCAACAAAAGAAAACCTATCTGTTAAATCAAGCTGCAACCCAGTAATTGACAGTTTAACATCTGATGCTAACAAAAAACAGTTTATTGATCCAATTTTGAGGAACTTGGATCCTTCCAATAATTCCAATAAAGCTGTATCTCTGTCAGGTGTTAGAGATGCATTAGCTAAAGTACTTGCTCTTCAAGCCTTCCAAGGCACCTCCGCTTCATCAGGTATAAATTTTCAGAGTAAAGCTGTAAATAATCCAGGCATTAAAGTACCACCACAAAGTGGAAATTTAAAACCATTTATTCCCGGACTTGAAACTGGGAGTGAGAAAAAAATTCCTAGCCAGCAAACTGGAAAACCTGTTTTCAGTGCAAAAAATTCAGGTGAATATCTAGCATCTGATACAGCTTCAAACAGTTGTGCAAGGATGCTGGATAGGCCACCTAATTTTTCAAATAGACCTGTCATGTTAACTAATGTTGCTTCTGGTATGCCTGTGTCACAAGGGCAATCTGATGTACAGTTACATCCTCTGAAACTGCACTTTCCTGGAGGAGCTCCTTTCCAAGGTCCAATTTAATGAAAGTTGTAAATAAACAGATTTTGATTACATATTGTTAGATAATGATTATTTTTGCTTGGGGAAAGATGAGGTTTACAGATTGATATGAATTTGTTCAGATATTTAAAAACTTTTTTTTATACATATTGAAGGAAAATTAAAGATAATATATCCGCAATGTCCAATTAATTTGTTGCATAAAATTAAAATAGCAGCATAATTAGTTAATCATATCATTCTGAAAAAGAAGGCAGCCTTCATGAAAATAATGTAATCCAAAATTGGTTTTGCACTTCCAATTATATCAATATGGTTTTCATGTTAAATGCTTGATAAAATCATTCTTTAGACTGTTAATTATTTTCATGTTTTTCCTTTTAAGTAAAGCTTATCTTGCTTTCTGAGTTGTGTTTTTCTTTAATTCATCTTACACAATTCCAAGGAATTGAAACTTAGTTATATTAAAGGGGTGTATCTGATTGGTTATATTAAGTTTTTTATCATTTGCATTGCCTTTTGCTTGAGCTGGTGATGAGTTGTGTCATATTTCTTCATTTTTGTGCTCTTTTTTATAAAATAGTTGAATGTAAATGTGTAAATATAAGGTTTTTTTATGTTTGTTCCCCTGATTTATTTTTAATATGCAACACCGAAGATAAGTGATTTTATTCTTTATGTTGCTTACAATTTCTGACTTCATTAATTTGTAAATATAGGTTTTTTTTATGTTTGTTCCTCTGATTTAGATTAAATATGCAAGACCAAAAATCAGTAACTTTATTCTATACATTGCTTACAATTTCTGACTTCATTATATTCTGGTTTAAATGAATTTATGATGATTATTAATGATTATGAATTTATGATTATTTATGATTATGAATTTATGATGTTAAATGATTGATTACAAATGTGTCTTTTTATGCATGAAGAATTTGTGCTTGCGAAACAGTTTTACCATGATTGCAGTGGGCAAAAAATAATACATTATATAACTCAGTTTGCCTGTTATTTTATTAAGTATTTACTATCTGAAAAAATGATAAAAAGGTATTTTTTTAAAATTTATAATTATATTATACAGTCAATGTGGTACATTATATCTATATAATGCAAAAAATGCAATATAATTTACTTCGCATAGAAAATGTGATAAAATTTAGGTGATATATTCTCCATATCCTACATTTTTCTGTTCAGGAAAGTGGGTTTATATATATATAAAAGAAAAATGTTATGTATATATGTACCTATGGATAAGTGTTACTGAAAAACAGATTATGACCAGTGCTACAAGCCTTTTACTTCCAGTTTATTTCTCACCTTTAAAGATGTTGAAATCCATTTTTCCAATTTTCATAGCAAGAACCTTGGGCTTTATAGATATATTTTTCTCCACTTTGTTTAAGATTAGAAGTTTGCACTAGGCATAATGCAAAGTTTCCTTTGATGAAAATTTAAGTGATTGTTTTAACTACTAAAATACTAAATAATATAAACTTAAAGTTATCTTAAATTATAAACTTATAATGGGAAATATGTTTTCTTTTCTGCCTGTAATTTCATTTCTTTCAGTCTTTTACTTGAACTGTAAAACATCTATGTTTTCATATTTTTTTTAATGTTCTTGCTAAATGATTTGTATTTCACACTTCTTATTTTTGTATTATCAGTATGGGGTAGTTTTTCTTTAAAAAACTTTTTTAAATGATTTTTTTATTAATATGAAATATTTTTTTTATTTGAAAAGGTGGAAAACATTAAATTAAAAAGACAGAGTATTAAAATTCCATTTTATATCTCCTATATGTATAAATAGTAAAAAAAAATATTTTTAAAAAATTTTTATTGTGACAGTTGGTGACTACAATAAGTAAACTTGTTTGCATAGATATGGTGGTAAGGGTCTGTAAAAATGAAATAAATAAAAATTTAAAAGTAAAGGGGAAAAGGCAAAGCATGCTTCCTCCTTCCTTACTGTTATTTAGATTTTGATTATTTTATGCAATTTTTAATATTTGTTAAAAATAAAATGTTACTACTATTAAAATACTAATATTTAATACACTAATATTAAAATTAGTTTTTAACAAAACACTGAAATTCTTAGTATATACATTAACATTTGTTTAGAAATATTTGAAAGATAATAAAATATATATATATATATATATACTTTTACTGTGTATGCACTTTAGCATATTAGATATTATTGCTAATGCTGATCATAATTTCGAAGAAGCGAATATTTGGTACTGAACAAAGCATACATTTGCATGAACTTCAGTTTATTTGATGAGGAAAAATATATTTCTTCTTCTGTGGAAAAACTGTAAAATTCAATTCATGTTTGAGAGTAGGAAAATAAAAATCTCTCAAATGGGAATTGACTTATGATAGTTTTAAAAGAGAATTTAGGAAATTGACTTGCATGTTTATTTTTTAACAAAGCAACCATTTGGCAATCTTATGTTGATTGTGTAATAATAAAACTATACATTATGTTTTCTGAAATCTAGTTGTCCAGTACATGGAATGATCTAATGTTCGGACCTCTAGACCAACAGCCAAAAAATAAATAGTAAAATCCCTCTCTTTCAAAATCTAGATATGTAGAATATATTATTAAAGAAAAAGAAAGATGTATGTAATAAATACAATTTTTCTTCCACCATTTCTGCACTTTCAAGCACCTGCTGGTTAGGCAGGGCTGTGGAGTCGGTAGGGAAAATGACCGACTCCAACTCCTGGAATTTTAATGATTCCGACTCCCTCATATATATATATATATATATAAACATATACGCATGGGTTACAGCTTAATTTTTTAATATAAAAGAAGTAATAGATGTTACAGGAAAAAAATTGATGGCATAGCAAATTATTTATATTAATTAGCATTTATTATGAAATAGAAAACCTGGCATTAGTTATTTCTAAGAAACAGTATAGTTTTGGCAAGATCTTCTCTGTTGGAGGGCCATAGATCGGATTTGATAAACTTCAGAGCTGAAAAGAGTCTTTCCACACTAACTTGATTAGGAGGAAAAGCTGTTACTGTTAGGGCTACTTCTTTTAACTTTTCAGGATAGATTTTCATAAGTTCTAAAAGAGGTGTCTTGCAAGCACAATCATTTTCTGTATTTCTTCAAAAGCCTTGTAGAAATCTTGTTTGCATTTTTTCATTTTTATATCTAAAGGCTCTTGGTTCTTTATTTTCATTCGCTTTGCTGTAGCCTTTTCAATATTATCAAAAATATTTCTTAAAATCTAATTCATCACTAGAAAAGGATGATAGAGACTCAATTGCAATGCCTGCAGTTTGACTGTTCTGATTCAAATTCTCCAATTGTTCAGAGAATAATTTCATTCTGAATGAAAGTTCATAGATGACTTTCTTTGTCTTTTTAATTTGTTCGTCATTCAAGAAAATTCGATGTTTCGGATCTACATATATGGAACCCAGCCAGATCTCATTGTCTAGCAAACTAGTTTCTCTTTTCTGTATCGAAGAAATGATTCCTTCTGCAATAAACCTTCCATTTCAGAAGGAACAAACATCACATTCTTCCATTCTCGCCTCCTGTCAATTCTTCAGATTGCAGCTTTTTTGTGGCTATATACGATGTAGAAAGAAGAGATTCCAATTCTGCAAGATCATTCCACAGTGGTTCTGTTAGTGAAACATTAGGATTATCTACTTCTAAAAAAGTTCTTAATTCTAAAAATTCTTTATCATCAAATATGTACTTCCTTATTGTGCTGTTTGATCAATAATTGCTCCTTTTCCTGCTTGCTTCCTAAGAATGGCATCAATTTTAGGAGTTCTTGCTGCAGTTTCAGCTTACCTAAATTTACCAGTGAGATTTGTTAGATTAGTGAGATAGATTAAATGAATCAGTTTAATTGCTAATGGCAAATATCACATCCATCCTTATATTTATTAATATGTCAATAAAATAGAAAATAACTATTTATTAATGTATACAGTTCATAAATAAAAATAATAACTCAGCTTGTTATTAATTTTTTTAAATTCATTTTAATTTCGTTTCAAATTCAAACTGTCCAACAAAAACTGGAGTTGGAGTCGACCTGTTTTTAGCGACTCCAGCTCCGACTCCGTTTACCCGAAAATCTGCCCGACTCCACAGCCCTGTGGTTAAGGAGTGGCACCATTGCAAATAACAATGCATTGATTGACATTGTATCAATCTTAACTAAGATCACACTTCTCTTGAATGGTTGTAGGATGCAGGTGTCACTATGTGCTTGTCTCCACATGCAGTCTCTGTGCATACTAAATTTTTCTGCCTGGCACCTTTCTAAATTCTAGAAAAGGTACGACTAAATTCTGATGCCCAAAGCCTCTTCTAAATTCTGAAAATTTTTCTAGCCTTAATTTTTTGCTGCCGTATGCTCCTTTAAATTAAAATATTTTTTTTTGCCATCTATGAATTCTGCCACCCTCTGCAGCAGTACCAGCTTTTGCATTAATACTGTTAGTAGCATTCTTCTAGCTGACATAAACATTAAGTGAAGCTGGTTGCCGTTTCTACATGACATCTTGCTAGAGTTTTTTTTTTTTTTTTTTTTCTTTTCAATGGCGGGCTTTTGCATATAAGGGCATTGGCCACTACTAAGTCCAGAAGTGTTGGACATTTTTTTGCGGAGGCACATAATAGGCAGCCACCTCCACCTTACTATGAAGGGACAGACAATTTTACATCCATGCCTTCTCCGGGATTCAAACCTGGGCCCTTCAGTATCTCAGGGTCAGGCTCCGCTAACCACTATAGCACCTTGGCAGCTTTTTTAGAGTGTAACTGATCTATAAATTTCTTAACTTGCTAGAGTCCTGATGATCCAAATCTTGTACTTTGTTCTGTGCTGTGTAAAACATTATACATGTTTTTTACATGTGTTTTCTTCACTTTTATTATTTATTATTACTGTTAGTACTGATTATATCTATGAAACTAAAATATCTGTTTAATTGGCTGTTTTAATGTATAGTTTCAGTTGTATATAAATAAATGAGGCTTTAATATTTATTGAAGTTTTGCAAATATGATTTTTTTGTGTCATACTATATTCAAACGAGAAAGAATGAGTTAATTGGGGAATAAAGCAGAACTGAATTATATATCCAATACAGTGCAGGATAATTCATATGTGAACTGATATTTCTTTTTAAGTTCCTTTGTTTGCAGTTTTCATCATATCCATCACCACAGGTAAGAAAAGGGACGAACTTTTTTAAAACTAAACTTTTCTTTTAAAATGTATGCTTACTTACTGTTTGGAGAAATTTTATTTGGGGAGTGGATAATATTATTAAGATTTGTTTTGACTTGACAAATGCAGTTTTATGTCTAATTTAACTATATGTTTTAATTCCTTT